GTGATGGGGTGTGGCATAGTTCCCCAGCGCAGCACGGGCGGAATCGCACGATTGTGCACGTCTTCAAGAAGTGCGTCGACCTTAATGACCTCGTCGTAGGAAGGGGGATTAATATCAGTGTTGACGTCGCAAATCAAGCCGAGAGCTGATATCAGTCGCCCTTTTGCAATGAGAGGGAGCACCGGCGTCCATTCTGTTTCTGGCCTCGGCGGAGGCATCTCGGTCGTATCCTCTTCAAAGTCACAGTCGCGCAAATTACGGGGCTGTTTTGTATCGATATGCGTATCTGTGGCACTTCGAGGAAGGCCCATTTCCAAGGAGAGAACGAGATCTAATTGAAGGATTGTAGCCCAGATGCGTCTACGCATCTCACCCTCGAATGGAGATATTCCGGGAAAGTGATCTGGGTCCCGGTGATAGCCCATGCGCATTGCAAGATGAAGTATCATACTGATCAAAAGCCAGCCATCGGTAGCGCCTTCTTTTAAGAGTATAAACTCTCCAGTAAGGACCGTTATGAGTGTTTCCAGGATATATGGTCCTCCCGTCGTATACCTGGCCAGAATAAGACACTGAACGGCCTTCTCCCGGAAGGCATCCTTCATGGTAAGATATTCCATCTTGAGCGATTCGGCCCGTCCGTCGGTGACGTCAATGGTGAAGGCCTGCAACTGCGCAGAAATATATAACATAGAGAACATGAGACCGATCCAAGCGATAGAAGTTGCAGACGGATCTTTCCAGAAGGTTTCGTACTGGTCAAATGTCAGATTGCTTATAATCAGCCAGGTTAGAAGTTACCCACCTCTTGGAGAAACTTCTTGCTATGAATGAGATCTACAGCACACAGTCAATGCCTCTGAGAGCGGAAAGAAAGCTTGGATGTACTGACACGGAGTGATAATGTAGGAATCAAAGTGAAGGGCCATGAGGCGGTCAACAACTGGACGAGGAGGAACAGCAGCCAGTATCTCATCTCGAGTTGCATGACGGTTCGGGCCATAGAACAAGTGTGAACCGAGCAGAGCCTTGCTATCAGCGACCAAGTCCTCCTTCAGTCCTCTGATTTTGGTAAGAATGGCCTCCCAGTGGGCACTCTGGACATAGCTGGTTCCAGACTCGCGCAACTCTAGGGTGCCGGGGTCTGCCGGGGATACAGCTTCATCCTGGGAATTATCTGGTCTCCGGATCTCAGGGAACACATCTGCGAATGATAGCGAGCTTGGTCTCGGCGATTTCGGTGCGGGCGGACTTGGGGGTGATTGGCCTTCCATGAGCGTCACGACAAGGCTCTCCAGTTCAGAGATTCTGCCATGGAGGCTGGTGGACTGTCGTGGAGCAACGGACCGCTGAGAATCGGGTGTAGAAGAAGATGACGTCGCATAATTGCAGGAGTTGGTGAGGCCACGCCTTGAGCAAGCTCCGCATGGGTGCTGTCGGTCGCACCTCAGCCTGGCAAAGTTCAGCGTGCACGACTTTGTGATGGCTATCGAGCACGTACTTTCGGTGTCTGCAAGGGTCGCAGGAAAGCTGGACTTTGTCTCTGCGTCGATTTGGCGGCGGACGCGGACGTTGAGCATTGTCGGCCATGGTGTAATTGGATTGAGGCGCTCGCGGAGCTCAACCTCGTATGCGGCAATCTGGGTATGCCCAGAGCGGAATCGTCCCCTGGTCCGCTCTCAAACAGTTTCACGGCCACTTCAAGAAGAGAAACAAGCTGCCTGGCGGCGCAAATCGAGAGGCAATGGAGAAAACAACGAGAGTTTGACCGTCCAACCCTCCGCGTCGACCGTCCGCGTCGACCGTCCGTGCGCACGCCCACGATGCCTGCTCCAACGACCATCCGCGTCCGCTCCCCCAACCCTCCGCGTCCGCACACTCTCCAGGCTCCCCTTTAATTAAGCAAGTCTCCAATTCGGCTCCATATTTACGAACTTTGCGGACTTTGCGGACCATTTTGCAGATGTAGTCGCTGGCGCAATTAGCCCTTGCCCAAAGAACTATAGCTATGACTCCTCCACGTGGCGTTCAGATATATAGCAAGCAAAGCCTAGCACCAGTGAACAAAGACGCGCCAATATCCCAGAGTCACACCACCCTCGACAGCATATCATGGCGGTCGACTTAGAATCCGCCCATGAGAAGCCAGCCATTTCGGAAGACGGCCACCATGACCAACAATCTAGCGAGCCTGACCAAACAGCAATTGAACAGGAGACTAAGGACAATGTTGTCGACTGGGATGGGCCAGACGATCCCCAAAATCCGATGAACTGGCCAGCATGGAAACGCATGACCCAAGTCGTCCTCGCCACCACTTTCTTGCTCACTGCGTAAGGCAGTTCCTGCGCTCCTTTGGCGAAGCAAATTCCGTACTGACCAATACACATACAGCAACCTGGCCGCGACAATGTTTGCACCTGGAGCTGCCACGCTTGCTAAGGAGTTCCATATCACGAGTTCCACCATTACCAGTCTCACCGTGTCCATTTACCTTGCCGGCTTCGCCGTTGGGCCAATGGTCATTGCACCGCTATCCGAACTGTACGGACGCCTTGTGATCTACCACACCTGCAATGTCTTTTACATTGGCTTCATCATCGGATGTGCGCTGGGCAAAAACACCGGCATGTTTCTCGTTTTTCGATTCCTTGCCGGATGTGCTGCTTCGGGCCCATTGACAGTTGGCGGAGGAACCGTCGCCGACGTCGTCCCGCCAGCTCAGCGTGGGAGGGCAATGTCTCTGTTCGTCGTGGGACCACTTCTGGGACCAGTAGGTGGCAGTACCCCACGCAACCCGTCATGACACTGACGATCCTTCAAGGTCTTGGGCCCAATTATTGGTGGCTTTGTGTCCGAATCAATTGGCTGGCGATGGACTTTTTGGATCATCATAATCCTAGTGAGTAGAGCTCATCCCCTATTATTCTCGAGTCGCTGACGGTTCGACCTAGGCAGGAGTATTATTTACCATGTCAATCTTCTTCCTCCGCGAGACCAATGCTGCCGTGCTGCTAGGATGGAAAGCTGCTCGCCTCCGGAAAGAAACTGGCAATGCTGCTCTGGTTTCGAAGATGGATCGAGGCCTGACCCCCCGCCAGCTGTTCCTCCGCGCTATTACTCGACCAACAAAGCTTCTCATCCTGTCGCCAATCGTGCTCCTCCTTTCCCTCCTGTGCGCGTTCGTTTTCGGCCTCCTCTTTCTGCTGTTCACCACGTTTCCCACGGTCTTTGAGGAACAATACCGCTTCTCCACCGGCGTTTCTGGCTTGTCATATCTCGGCGTTGGACTTGGAATGATCGTCTCTCTCGGAGCCTATGCCACCGTGAGCGACAAGCTGCACAAGTCACTTGGAGATTCGCCCAAACCTGAAGGACGCCTGAAGCCCATGATGTGGGTCATGCCCGCCGTGCCCGTCGGCATCTTCTGGTACGGATGGGCAGCCGAGAAGCAGACTCATTGGATCGTGCCCATCATCGGCACCTCCTTTTTTGGATTGGGATTTATCTGGGTCATAATGCCAACTCAGGTCTACATGGTGGATGCTTTTGGCCCTGAGGCTGCCGCCTCTGCGTTGGCTGCGAGCGCGATTCTCCGACTTCTTTTCGCAGCTTTCATTCCATTGGCAGGGCCGTCTTTGTATGCAGACCTAGGACTTGGGTGGGGGAATAGCGTCCTAGGGTTTATAGGCGTGGCTTTTCTTCCAGTGCCACTACTCTTCTATCGTTACGGAGGGTGGCTTAGGGAGCGTTTTGCGGTGAAGCTATAACATTTCATGTTGAGGTAGAGGTATTTTTGATCTGTTTTACCATTTGCAGCGCTTCTCACGGGGAGATTGTCGCGACTTTCTGCTATTTCATTCCATACATAACTAGGTATCGATGATAGATTTAATGTCTCTATTAGGAAGCATAACCTTAACCACCAGCAGTTCTCCTCTACCAGCTTTGATGTGAAGGTAATTCTACCCAAGTTACGTCTAGATTCGGCCAGTTTCCTTATACATATTCTCAAGTAATTGCCGAGAGTTCCTGGCCTGAATCCGCCCTCCGCTGCTAGAAGCACGTTGGCGTGGAATGAGATTCGAGTTTTGGCATCAATTCCTAGATCGGCAGCACGTTCGTACAAGGTGCGGAGGATTACGAGAACATCGTCTGCGGTGGCTTTCACCTTCGTGAACGTGATGTGCTTGATGAGGGGCGAGTCCACTTCTACTGCGAGGCCAGTCCAAAGTCACTTTTGGGATGAACATCAGCCTAGTGAGCACGCAAAAGGATCAGGAACCCACTTTGGATACGTCGAATACGCTAGTCGAGGACGAAGGAAATCGAGCATTATGGTTATGAAATCTCAGCCTCCATTCCTCCTTGTTCCTGGGATCTTCCAATCTCTTCGCGCTTAGCATAGTAAGGTCTACCTTGAATCTAGGCAGGGTACCAATAACAGGGTTTCGGTAACGCAATCCAGTTCACCGGCTAGCGAAAACAGTTTGACAACGCTGCGCAAAAGCTTCCTATTCCCTGATCTTTTATCTCGGGCCATCCAATGCTTAAGGCGGTAAAGCGAAGGATGATGCACATAAGGATCGATTGCTATCGAGCAACGGCAGCCCAGTAGAGAGAACGGCAAAGAGAGGAGTACGACAGCTCCAGACGCGGGAGGCCATAGGGGGACGGCGGGGCATAAGAGGCCGTAGAACGCCCCTGCAGGCCCGCGCCGCCTCCTTCCTCCTGCCATGGTTTTCGTTGCGGTTTTGGTTTTCAGAATCCCGCTTCCAGGCGTATGACTAAGCCTCGCTAGTGGTTTTCCGAGACCGACCGCGCGAAAACCGCATATCCTCGAGGAAGATCTGCCGTCTGAGAAGAAGCGATTGGGTGATGCCAGCGTGGATGAAGAGGCCAAAAAGCTGAGAAACGACTTAGGAGAGCTCGGAAAAACGATCTAAGCTGAATATATATCGATATATCAAAGAAGATAATTAATTGTGATCGGTGCTACAGGGCATGTAGCTCAGTGGTAGAGCGCCCGCTTTGCACCTCGATGTCTGCGGGAGGTCTAGGGTTCGATCCCCTACCTGTCCATTTTTCTTTTTTGCCATCTTGGCCCATTTTTGCCTCTTTTCGACTCCTTCAATGCATCTATAACTCGTTTGGAACGGCCTAGATCCGTCCCAGCATTTTTGGTGGTGAGGGCTTGGCGGGATCATTGTTCTGCCGAGACCGCGACAGGGAACTTGGATCGGCAGGAGCAGGACGCGCCGTAGATTAAATGTTGGACACGATTCACATGGAGGCCTCCTTCGACCCTCCGCCCAAGAAATGAAGCTACGAAAGGGCTCGTCATGGCATGCGATTGCTGCATTGTGCTTGCTGAGCGGCCTCGCCCATGCATCCACAGGTGACCGACTGCCGGACTTCAAGGACTGCTTGTTGGTACGGAGCTTGGTGAGCTTCCTGCGAAGCAAGGCTGATTGTTTCCAGGTCTGCAAAGAAGCGAATTGCGGAGATGACCCGTCGTACATCCGTGAGCTTTATTTCCAACCACAACGTCAATCAACGTGTTTAATTCCTCCAGCTCTCTACCGCCGGCTCCTCTTCTGGGACTGCCCCTCAGAATGCGACTACACCTGCCAACACATCGTGACCGACAAGCGCCTCGCCCGCGACCCTCCCTACATGCAGCCGATCCACCAATTCCACGGGAAATGGCCCTTCTACCGCTTCATGGGCATGCAGGAACCCTTCTCCGTCGTCTTCTCCCTCTTCAACTACCTCGCCCACGACTGGGGCATGAACCAGCTCCGCGAACGCATACCCGCCTCCTACCCGCTACGCAAGTACTATATGATGTTTGGATACTTTGGGCTCGCGAGCTGGATCTTTAGCATGACCTTCCACACAAGAGACTTCAATGCGACGGAGAAGTTGGATTACTTCGCGGCCGGAGCGAGTGTGCTTTATGGACTGTATTTCGCGCCGATACGGGTATTTCGGCTGGATAAGAAGGTGCCGATGAAGCAATCAATACTCAGGATATGGACGGCAACGTGCTTGCTATTGTATACGTTGCATGTGCTCTACCTGACGCTGTGGTCGTGGGACTATACATACAATATGGCCGCGAATGTAGCATGCGGGGTGGTGCAGAACGTTCTCTGGAGCGGCTTCAGTTACATGCAATATAAGAAAGTCGGGAGAACCTGGGCGATGTGGCCAGGTCTGATCGTCGCATGGTTGATAATGGCCATGAGCTTGGAATTGCTGGACTTCCCACCTTGGAAAGGCATGATCGATGCGCACAGTCTGTGGCATCTAGGCACCGTGGGTCCGACGATCTGGTGGTACAAGTACGTCGACTGACGAACAATCCTGAGCACACGCTGATCCTTTGTAGTTTCCTTCTCAGGGACGCCCAAGAAGACCTTGCAGGTACGAGACTCAAGCAGTAGTGGAGGAGCATGGGTGTCATTTGTACGCTTCGCTCATCGCTTACCGGTTGCTCCTAGGCAAGCTTCCGTCGACTAATGATCGTACAGGCGCTCGAAAGGGGAAGGACTGAGGCTTTCGGTATGCATTGACCTTGTAGCAGGCTTTCTTGTGATACTTCTTGCATAGCCTGCGTTGGTCGCTTGTCTTCTAGGGATTGGTAGAGAATACACGAATGCATTCCTTCACTTCTGTCAGCCAAAGAGATGGATGTACCTCTGTACCTGTACGCCCGTCGCCAACCGATTCTGCCCAGTTCCCCGCTGTGCAACATCCTCATGCTACCCCACTGACGTATGTGTCTGTTGATCACTGTCCTTATAACTTGTTACCCGCCTAAACAACTTTGCATACAGTTTCCTCGAAACTTCACCTAAGCAGACCCCGAAACGCAACCATTATCTATCAGCATGTCTACTTCGACCCTCACCGCCCCACCCCAGTATCGAAACTCGATCACTCGGCGCATGGCTCCTCGCGGCCAGTGGAAACAATTCCGTCTCGAGAAGGTGGCTGCCTTTAAGTGCAATGTGTGCGCTAAGGACATCAAGTCTAAGCTTGTTGCTTTCAAGAACGACGAGTGGGAGAGTACAACTTGCAATGGCTGCTACGGGAAGAGTGTAGCCAAGGTCTAAGCAGTGAGTGTTAGCTTCTTGGCCAGCATGTTTCGTAGCACTAATGTTTTGTTCTTCCAGGGACTGGGTATGGAAATGCCTTTGTGCGTCATGGAGGTATATATGAATGTTGGTATCGGTACGTTGGAAGGGATGCTAGAAGTGCTCACAATCACATCTTCCAACTTAAGACCAAGTTGTAATTAGGTGACACTGCCTCGATTGCCAATTCCATATTTGCGTTGCATCAGCTCTTTCCCGTTACGTGCGCCGCGCCTTCGTCGGCACCTTCCCCTCTGCTAGTGTTGATAAGGCCCGCCTCTGGGCCTCTGCTCCTTCAACATACAACATACTCTCATCTACAGTCTTAACAAGTCACTTCGCTATGGCCGATCCACTACCCGAGACACCCAAGCAACCCGTCAGCGACAACGACTCACAACCTCCGCATAGCCCTCTTCCCGAGGCACCGCAAAACGGCACTGAAGCACTTCCGCATTCACTATTTAATGTATTGGACAGCCGCTTTTGCTGCACCTGCGACTGCGACATTGCGCCCGAAGACGACCTAATCGCTTTTCAATCCGAGAAAGAGGAACTCACGCTCTGCATGCATTGTTGGCAGAGAAGTGTCACCCTATGGGCAGTCGATGCTTTGCCGTCCTGGTTGCCTAGCCATTTCTACGACTTCGTTCATTCGGGATTGGCAATATACCGAGAGTACGCGCAATTCCGTATGCACAGAGGCCATACCTTCGACTGCCATGTGTGCAAGAAGAGGAAAACGGAGAAGCTGGTCGGTTTCAAAAACAATTTGTGGGACGAGTACTACTGCTCGAACTGCTTCGAGACCGAGATTACGAGCGAGAAGCAAGGGGAAAAGAGCGTCGAGCCATTGTGATGAGTTACAGAGACGGTGCGCAGATGTTGTGTGGTTTGGGAGGCTTTGTGGAAGCACTGGAAACTTCAAGCACCATTCGCGTGGCATCTCGCTCCATTGTTCGCGGCTCTCCTCAGTGACTGATTGGGAGCCATTATTATGATTAGCGAGGATGATGTACTGGTGGAAGTATTGGTTTCTCCATTATTGAATCATCAATTTTCTGTTTGCTGTTGCTTGATACGCTATTGCCTATTTCGCCGCACCTTCCTTACTCCCTTTGCGTTTGCATTTGCATCCACACCTCCAAATCTCCTCCTTAACCTTCCGCATCTGCAACAATGGCCGATCACTACGAGTCCTGGACCGTTGTTACGCGCAAGTCGAAGAAGGAAGCGACCCTAAAGCCCTCGCGTGCGGTGAAGAGCGAGCGACAGGCGAAGAGATGTAGGTGTCAAGAACTTCCTATACTCCCGCAGATCCACAACGACGTCAACCGACCTCTGTGTCATTGGACCGTGATCAACGTGGCGATTGGCAACAGTACCAGACCAATCAATCGATCAACTATTACTATCTTCCATGTTATTGCTGCACGGATAAGGAAATGAGCAAGCGCCGACAAGGTAAGCGAAGACGCGAACATGTTGTGGGACCGATTGTCGTCGGTTACAAGAGAAACGGGAAGTACCACCCATACTTCCGATGATGTCGGAGTCTTTCTAGACGCAGCCAGGAATGCCAATCATCACGCCGCATTGCACGTGTTCTCAGTGCTTTAGCCAGGTTCACATACCCATCGCTGAGCGGCCAGCCCCCCAACTGTCCTGAACGAATCATTTCTTTCCGGAAGCCTTTGGAGTTCCGAATATCCTCTAATCCTTGATCCTTTCGGTACTTTGCCATCGCCCTGTCTAATACAAGAGCTTCCTCCTTTTCCAGGTGTAAGGAAGCGATGAAATAAGCGTGCGAAGCCAACGTATCACCTAAGTCTAACATCGGTGATGTCCATCTTGGTAGAATTCTGGTATTAGATGGCGTCCAATGGTCGACTAGCGTTTTTATCTCTTTGACGCCGTGGGCCTCGACGATCCGGAACCGGCCTAACATCTCTAAGATATACTCTTTCTGAATACGTATCCCCCGGGTAGGCTCTAGTACACACTTTACGAGAAGATCTTTGTCCTGCTGACAAGTGGTAGGCCAGCGGCGACGTCTCAGCCTTTCTTCAAGATCTCGAACAAGAGCGCAGAGTTCTTTAAGCACATCCCAATGATGCTTACTAAGGATCGAAAACGACTCTTGTCTGTGCTGAGATACTATTGAAAGGTTTGAATTTGTGTTGGCTGCATCGAGTTCTCCGAGATTTGCGGAGAATGTAACGGCGATGATCGCCGCAAGGTACATCCGGAGATGGCGGCTTTTCAGGGTCTGTTCCTCTTCAACGATACGGGTCAGGAGCGGATATTGGCTAGCGCTAGAATGGGTGTCCGTCGTGGGACAAACATTTGCGTTGAATAGAGAGCCTTCGAGGCGGCCTTGCGGACATGCTTCGGTATACGAAGGTGGTTCTGTTTCGAGCCCGCTCTTCCCCTGGGCCTCTCGCCTAGTCTTTCTTACTCTCTCGACGCCGATCCTTACTCTTTGCCTCAGCGTCTGCCCTACATTGCCGAAGTCTTCGTCGACGCGAGATGTGCTGTTAGCCGAATGCATATCTGGAGTCGAGTTCAGAAACTGGACGCCACCAGGGGCTGAATTGCAAACTGCAGTCATGGCTGGGTGCTTGCGTTGGTCTCTGATTTGTATTTGGTGCGAAGTTGCTGAACAGGAGGCGAAAGTAATGCAGAAGCGGGGGAGACGTAGATCAAGGCGGTATTTCAACTATTCGAGCGCTGGCTTTTCGCGTTCCCGTGATCACAGCTGCCTGTTCATTCCAAGGTTGTTGAGATCGCGTACCAGAGGAATCGCATTACAAGACACGGTACCAGGCACCTTTCTTCTTTGGTACTCAGAGTCCTCCCTAGTACTTAGCGTCTTCGTAGCGTCAATAGCGCGTATGATAATTAGCATCCGGCAACCAGAGCCATGTCTTTGACCTTAGC